ACGAAGCTCGGTTGGCCATGCAGAAAAGGTCTCCATTAACTTCATTTGAGGAAATCACTGACTCTTCCTGATCAGATTGCTTCTGATAAAGCATGAAACTCAGAGTTTCAATTAAATGCCTTGGACCAAGTAATCCAGCTCTTTGACTATGTTATTATCTATTGAAGGTATGCATTTTCAATGCAGAGGACTAGAACTTCACGAAGCTCGGTTGACCATGCAGAAAAGGTCCGGAGGCCAGGTCTCCAATAGGAGACGTTCTCCATCAACTTCATTTCAGCAATACATTGACGCTTCCTGATCTGATTGCTTCCGATGAAGCATGAAACTCTGAGTAGCAATTGAACGCCTTTGATCAAATAATCTAGCTCTTCGACTACATTATTATCTATTGCTCTAGTTCACCTATTGAGCACTCTAATAGCTGATGATGGTTTTAACTCAGTTTTTGGTTATATATATCTGACTGGATTTGCTAAAACGTGGCTAAAGAAATTTCAAGTTCATTTTAACAATTTGACATCTAATAAGTGAAATGGAAAGCAGTTAAATATCACTAGCTGAGACTAAACAATGATAGCATTATTGCTGGCAAAAGACGATAAAGTTCTCTCGCAGAAGTAACAAGCCTATTCAATAAATATTTGGTTCAAATTAGGTAACTAAAAAGTAACCGAAAAAAAAAACAGAAACAAAAACAAAACATAAAAAAATGCTTCACATCAAGACTCGGTCCTAAGAAGGTTTATGAGAGAGAGATTTCTATAGCCAATGTTTTTACAAATCCAGTCAGATATACTAGTCATGGAAAATAGTTTCAGTCGGTACTGGGAATAAAAATGTAAAGAATACATTGACCTGAGACTCAACTATGTACATAAACCACAACCATCACAGAGTGTGCTTTCGCTTCAATATCAGACCTGTGTCATATAAGAGGGGAGCGACTAACCCTGCCGGCTTAGTTTTCTGCAAACAAACTGAAGACATATCTACCTATACGGAAAATGACACTAACTGAACAATGTAATAAGAAATGTTTTGAAGTTTCATTCAACTCTAGTCGGACAGAGCAACCCTTCCTTGGAAAGAAATGCAAAGCTTCGAAGTCTTAAATCAGATGAAGACTTCAGCTGCCTGATCAAACTTACTCAATAAAATTGGGTCCTTGGTTGTGCATAAAAATGACGTGCAAACAAAGTTTTTCAGTTTGGAACGTGTTAAGAACACTGAATGCCCACAAATTCCCAGGTCTGAGAAAAAATAGCTGTCACTTATTTAAACGATATCGCAAATGTCCCCAGTCTGTTCCTAATAACGTTATTTCTGATTTGCAAATGCGGGGTATGTTGATTTTGTGAAAACCTATGAGACACATAGCAATATCCAGCACTTTTTTAATTTTATTGCTCAGTTTCTTCAGAATTTATAAACTTAAGCTAGACAAACTTTATAATATCGTTTTAATAACTCAGAAGAATGGCGGAAAATAACTCACGTCACATTAGGTAATGAAGTGACCAGGGTTTGCGGGTTTGAGAAAATAAATAAATAAATAAAATTATCCTTACCTTTCATGTAACATAACAGCACTGCATTTAAAAAACGCTTCATTTTAGACTGTTCGTTGTCTCAATTTGTGAGTTTTCTTGTATCTGGGATAAACTAGGTTTAAGGCTCAGAAATTATCCTATGGTCACTAATTTGAATTTGCGAGTAAGCCAATATGATCTGCTCACAAAATATAGGCGCGCCCTTTGCACTAGCCGTTCACGTGGTACAGAGAGCAAAAGTCGCACTGGAACGAGACAAACAAGGAAATTACTGTTTTAAAGTGAACTTAATATATCCCTTGTGATAGATTGTCGTGCTAGATCCGGATCCGGAAGCCACATAGAGATTAAAAAGGTATTAAAGACACAGGAAATAGCGCTTTGCACTACTGACGTCACAAATTTCAGGTCCCTGTTGTGACTCATACATTGACCTCGATCCGTATAAGGGACCATTAGAAACTATATAAGGGGGAAGGGAAGGGGAGGGGGGGGGGGCGAAGTACAAAAAAAAGATATATTCGCGCAAGGGAAAATTACATGAAAAAAAATCATGCACGCCAATTAACCCTAAAAAAATATTCATGCTATGGTCTAAAAAAATTCATACAATAAATTTGATAACGAAAAAAAATATTCCTGCGGCTCAAAAATTCCCCACCACCACATAACTTTTCTAATGGTCCGTCCCTAAGAGTTTTGTATGGGAAAGCGTAGCCTGCGAACAGCACACGTATTTCCGGACGATGACCGGAAATACGTCTGCTGTTCGCGGGCTAGGGAAAGTCACGTTCGCCAACAAATTTACGTCGTCTTTGAAGACTTTTATCGTCAAGAAAAACAAAATCCAACCTGTTTTCAATAGCATATATCCTGAAAATTATTAACGTGTGCCAAGACAAGGTTAAACATGGAAAAAACTGAACATGAGTGATTTTATTTACAACGGCAGTGTCATTACTATGGGTAAATGTATAAAATGCGGCAAGTATTTAAGTGCGAAGGCAACTTTTGTTACGCTACTACAGGATATAAAGTAATGTACGGTACTTATCTGGCCTCACAATCAAACATAACAAACTTGTTTAATTTCCGGTTTGCGCTAATGTAGGTGTGCTTTTTAGCCTAGAAATGCTGCCACAGGCCTGTGAGAAGCACATATAAACTCGACTTTCTCTTTAGCAATTTCGATTTTGGAGTATTACACAGTCAGAAATGTTATGTCATGTTTCAGTACAGTGCTATCTAAAACAGAGCTACGGATCCGATTTCATTAGCCTTCATTGAGTAGGTCGCTTTATTTTCAGGTTTTAACCAGTTATTTGAGTTACTTGTACCAGATTTTGCTTCCTATGGCAGTAATACCTTTTATATATTAGAACAAAGCTCAAAAATCATGTAAAAAACGCTCATTGCGAATTCTAGCTATGAACAGTTGCCATGTCGGAAACGCATGTTGCTCATCCAAAGGTTCTGAGCAGAATGCAAAGTTTGTCTGAGTCACCCGGGGGGTCTAAGGTGACAAAACCTGTTGGCATAAGCTTCTAGCCTGTAGCGCTTGTCATGCAGGCTAGGCAACTTCACAGTAGCTGGGGAAAATTCGTATTCAGGGATTACAGACATTGCGGCCTTAGAGACATTTTTCTGCTTATGAAGCCAATAAGTGGTTTCAAACGAGGTGCAAATTTTCCAGGGGTGAAATGATTTAACCCTTGGACGTAAATGCAAATTCATACCCCCACCGTGGTACAAGAGGGGGTGGATAGACCCTCCCCCACCCCCTAGAGTTTTTGATGTGTTGCAGCATTTCGAAACGACTTTACCCTTAGTGGAAAGCCTTTGATCTTCTCTAAAAGATGAGATATATTGTATGGGTAGCGGCGCTGCTGGGGGCCTGTGACGTCACCAACAATAGTCGCCATCTTGGCCGCCATCTTGGATTTTTCCAAGAATGAGAAATCAGGTTAAACAGCGAGAAATGCTGATTTTTTTTTGTGCTCGAGATGAAAAATAAAACATAAATAATCACTTTGCATGATTTAAGCCACAGGATCTACTTTTATTGTTGAAAAAAGTTGAAAAAACATGTACTTTCACTCAAAAATGGCTTGACCACCATATCTTGTCATATCGACGTCATATCCTGTAACCATAGAAACTGAGAATCACTGCACTTGACTCGAAATGCGAGCGAGGGATAAACGAACAGATACTGAAAACACCAGTTGCTGATGTGTTTAGTACTCTGAGAGAAAACTCACAAAAACCCTAGACAGTGATATCTACCCCCCCCCCCCCCAATTGTACGTATGAGGGTTAATATAAGCTTGCATCCAAAATGAATGATTCAAAATTTATCATGTATAGAATACTAAAAAAAAATTACATAATATAAATTATGATAATATTTCTAAACAGCAATATGATAGTACACACATGCTACTGTTTCAATTTGTTTCACTTGTAAATGTCTTTTTAATGGTAAAATTTTGGCCGAAAAATTGCTCTGGGGAGATAGCGAATAGATAAAAAGGCTTTCCTTTCTCTCCTTCCGCCCCTTCTCAAATTTTAAATCTTCTCTCTCCCAAGCTAACCCGAAGACCTGAATTAAACCCATGCCAACTTGTAGTAAACTGCTGCCACCAATTATTCAACTTAAAGCCTGACTGTCAACAGGTTAAAGTAGGAAAATGGTTTGTATTCATAATGTTGTTGAATAGAAAAGAATTAAATCGGACGTTGTAAACAGAAAGACCTCGTTGTGCTATTCTTGTCAGAAGCGTTCGAATTTATTTACCCTCGCAAAGTAAATTCGCCACCAATTTTCTAATTTCCTTTATTTTAATTTTCTGATCACGAGGCATGTCACGTGTATGTGAAGCACAAGATTTCTATTCCTATTCCCTCAAGATCATTTTTATTCTGAGTAAATCATACACTTCCTGGTAACATAGTCAGAGGGACACTAAATCAATGAATCATGCTTGTCTGTCCCGGACGTATGTCTTGCCAATCTCGGTAACTATGGTCTTAATAAATCATGTTTACCCTTAAGCAGTTATTTAAGCTATCAAAATATAGTGACTTTGAGGGAAAAAAGTAAAACAAAAATTAGTTCTTGAATTGTATCGAGATAGACATAAACTCAACCTGTACAAACAACATACAATTACCCATCCCTAAAGCCAATAATTCCCGATACAGAGTGGCTAGTTTATTTGTTGTACATTTGGCTGCTCGGCACTTTGTTTTCTTTTTTTTCCAAGTTACAGCTAGCCGCTTTCATCAGAGCGGGAAAGAGCCAATTTTACTCGGTTCTCTAATGTTACTTAAAAAATGCTTTATTCCACACTCTTGTTAGTAACGGCTGCGCTAATTTTCCTGAAAACAGTTAGAAGTGATATATCATTATCACCTAAAACCTGGCTTCCGAATGAGTTCGATAGAATGGAAAGAATGACCTTAAACCGTTTCGAGAGGCCCAAACCATTAGCTGTGAGCAACGGGAAAGGCCTGGTGGCGGGAACAACTGAACCTTTCGCTGTGCATTCAGGAATGGACGCGCTAAGAAAAGGCGGGACTGCAATGGATGCTTGTTTGGCGACAGCTCTTGCAGGTATACAAAAAGTTGGAATCTTTTTCATAGCTCCCTGAGTAATTGTTCCTTGCCCATATGTTAAATCTATAATTATGAAAACTTTAAAACAGGGAGCGTGAATCTAAAGGGGCAGATGACTCGAAAAATGGGACGATGTTATTTTGATTATCTCCATTTGTGATTTCATCGTGTCATTAACGTTGGTTTTACAAAATGAACAATATCTTCATTACTTTAACGTTACCATTAGCTCCACTTGCTCCCCCCAGGGGACCCCTATAATTGCCCATACGGGATGGTTCCGTTCGTTTCGTTCCCCCTTTTCTAAGCTTCAGGTGTATGAAAGGTTGGCATTTAACGAATTGATGTATACTATGGTATCCGAAAGAATAATCTCTTACTTAGGTATTTAAAAAGAGTTTATGGCTGTGTTTTTGTAAAAAAAAAAAAAAAAAGCTTTTTGTTTTGCCAATTTGGAATAGAATAGAATAGATTCAGTGTATTGAGTAATGTCCCATTCTTTTTCCTTATAGAGATTACCCTAGCAACAGGTTCCTACGTTTCGTACGCTGGTGTTACTCAAATCCTTTATTACGAGAAATCTTCTACTAGAGTGTTCAGTATAAATGGTGGCTGGAATACTCCTCTTCACGGGGACCCGTCTCAGATCCCTAAGGTCCACACCACTGGAAACAATGGTGCATCAGTCCTCGTTCCTGGATTCATTGCCGGCGTTGTTGATGCTGCCCAGAAGTTTGCAAAGTTTCCTTTGAAAACCTTATTTGAGCCTGCTTTGTTTTTCGCTGAAAATGGTTTCAAAATGTCCGCTGGGTTGGCCAATTCGATTAAACTTTATTATAATAACATAACGCTGCTGAGAACAGCTCAAGGTAATGTTTCCACTCTAACGTTTTAACCGAAAAAAAACAGATCCCGATCGAAAAGCAAAGAAACAACGTACTAGATAGTTAGGTTTTTTATGAAAAAATATAGGGAATACAAAGACCAGGCGTATTTCGTAAAAGAATAAGAACAGAATCGGATGTCGTCTTTTTGACCCCCCCCCCCCCCGGGCTTTTGGTTGTTTGTTCAGTTTGTTTGTTCAATTCAGTATTTTTCCTAGTGAGGTCCCAAAGTTCGTCATTTTTGAAGGTGTTTCAGTACTGTCTTTTATCCAATTAATTTCTACGTGCTACCGACCTTTTAAAATGTGTTACTTTATCATTCCTGTAAATCAAATTTGCTCGAGACAAACTTGATGCAAAGAAGCTGTCTGTTATTAAGCAAAACTAGGAAATGCCATTATCTACAATCCCAGTGCAATCATATTACAAATGCAGCATTTGCCAGCTTTGCTCTTGATTTTTGGCTCTCAGTAAATTTCGTGTGCACCGTGAGGCATCAATGAATAATATTTGTTAAGGCTGATTGGATAAACAAAGAAAAAAAAATAAATGTTCAGGTTGAATCATCAGCCTTGCAATAATTTGCTTTTTTTTTTTTCGTTTTTCTTTTTATGGTTTTTGTTCACATTCGCTATTTTCAATTTTCGCATAAAACCATTCAATCTCGGAACAACAAACCTTCTCTACTCATAAAATATGATCTTTACTTGTCTTGCAGTCTATCATGAGCCCGGCTCCTGTTAACTCTGACAAAAGTCCCACAGTGAAAAGTCTCAAGCATTTCTTTTTTAAAAAATTTCCAGTGCTACGTTGGCCTGAAAACTAGCAAACTTTGTTTTATGTTCATGTAGGTAGAAGTATCTTTACTAACCCCGAAACTGGAAAACCATATGCCTATCAAGAACTTTTCAAGCAGCCAGAGCTTACGGTGTTTATAAAGAACGTCTCCACCAGTGGGAAAGACTACTTTTACAATGGTACTTGGGCAGACGAAATAACAAAACATGCGCAGATATCAGACCCGGTGGGAGAGGCCATTCAACACATCATATAATGGTCGTAAGGTTTTCGTGTCCGGAAACGACTGGGGTGGAGTTGAATTGATGGAAAAGTTGTACCTGATGGAATTGGCGGGAATTGGTCAAACGCCAAGCTCTAACTACCTTATAAATGCAACTGAATTTTTCTGGCTTGCCTCGATCTCTCGTTATAGTTTCTTCGTCTCCACCTATTTGCACAGTACTTCAAACGGTCTGTCAATTTTGAAAGAAAATCTGGACTTGAACTTATCAAATCGCTAATCCAGATAAACCGCAAAAGCTATTTGGCAGAAGATTGGCTCGCCGGAAAAGATGAGAGGTTATTTGCGTAATAAAAAAAGCTACTTGGAGGGAGGAAGAGCGTGGACGACTTTATTCATGGTCAGTTCAGATGCAATTGTTGCGGTAAACAAAGAGGGTAATATTTGCTCTATGACTCCACCATAAACAGTCAAATGTGGGGAACAGGGCTGTTTGCCCAGCGGGTTGCCCTCCCCCATTCTGCTGTGATATTTAAGGCCTTCGTTAATTAGACGAAAAGCCCGGGGAGAGGATTGCTGTTGGTCTTCAGCCTGTTATTTCTTTTAAAACCGAGAACTCCACACGAGCTCTCCGTCCAGTTATGGCTCTCTCAGTTGCTGGCTCATGTTGGACAGTAAGATGAATCCAAAGGAAACCACGGAGTCTCCCACTTTTCTAATACCGAGCTTTTCAGATTTCTTCTAGGCTGTTCCCTTACAGCAGTTCTCACTTGACGGCAAGGTGCGGAACGAAGTGCGAGACGTGGGTCAAGGTGTCACCCAGGTAGACTACTTGAAGGCGCATGGACCGATTGGTTTGGGGGTGGCGCTCACGATCGATGACGACGAAGAGATGTACGGATTTACCCACCCCAGTAGGAGTGAAATATAGATCCGTTTTAACCCCGGGGATAATGCCATGTATGGATCAGTATAGAATAGGGTAAGGCTTTTAGGGTCCCAAGGACGCCTGTACATCACTACCAGTACACATCCACTCCGGGGGGGGGGGGTACCTTCTTTTTATCTGAAGAAACACAGTAGTGTGATCGATACGGATCACTTGAATTCAAAAACGTTTGTAGGGTTGCATTGTTACTATTCCATCATAATCCGTAATTTACAAAAAAAAAAAAAAAAAATGAAATGATACAAGTAGAAATAGTAACGATAATGACTCGAATCTTCTCCCTCAGTTCAAATAAAAATAAAAATAAAAATAATTCATTGGAAGTCAGGCAAAGGGTTTTAATTATTCAAACACATAATGATGAAGTTTTGTCTTGATTCAGCTAATGTATCGTATCATATATGTATTTAGGGGAACGAAAATCAAATCAATGACACGTTCCAGTATTTTGCGTCATCTCTTTATTCATATTTATAAGATAACAAGTGACTAACAAAGAATCGATCCTACTCGGAGCTTCTTGATTCTTCTTGTCAACTATATGTAAACATTTCGACAACCTCCGGGAAGTACCAAGGCTCGAAGCGTAAGATCAACCACTTGGGTATACTAACGGTGACCGAATAAACTGTGCTTTATCAGTGAGATGATTTTACTCGTCCCCTTTCCAACTCGAATTCACGAGGAGGGACGAATCTCTCAGGATCGTATGCTTCTACTATATCATAGAAGCTAAGAAAAAATACACAACTTAACAGTAAGAATAAACTCGCGCCAATTCAGTGTATTAATTCATTCTGGAAAATATTTTGAACATAACGGTGATAGTTAGTGTTCCCGTAATCTTTTCAGGCCGGGCACTCACTGTTGTCCTGCAAAAAAAAATCATAATTAAAAGTACAATCTTTGTGGGGATTTGAAAGCAAATTTCTCCATATATAGGTTTCATCCAATAAAACATTTAGATTTACACCGCAGTGAAGCAGAATTTGTTGTTGTTGGACTGTCACACGAGATCATTCGGATGCAATTTTATTGTAGTAAAAATAGTCAGAACCCCTTTGATCACGTTCTGTCACTCAAAAAAAAACCTTTCCATCTTAGCGTATATTGAAAAAAAGCAAAATCGCTATATTGGGCAACTGAAATCTGTTATTTTACTAACAAGCTAAAAGCCAACGTACACCAAAAAACTTGCCACCACTTCAGAGGTTAAAAACCGTTATACGTTCATATTAAGAAGTCACTCCAAAAATTGGTGTACACCAAAAAAATTTATAAAACCATTGCATATATGTATTTTTTTGTAGCCGATTATCAGCTGGTTTAACTGGTGTTGCCTGGGAAGCTAAAAGGCGACCTTCAACCCGTATTACTCGATTGGCTATTTTGGCACTACGTAAATGAAAAAGCCAAAAAACACATAAACTTATAATACCAAGTATAAAACATCCATAAATATTTTCTGTGCATCGCATAGAAATACGCCAAATAATATATAGATTTGGCCAGGGCTAAAAGCGAAGCTCTCGTTAATATTTATAGTTTGCTCAAACATAACATAAAATCATGTAATGCTAAGTGGCGAAGGCAACGAGAAAGGTGAAGAAAAAAAACAACATCAACAAAAAAACAATAGGTCTAATTAGCAAAAAAGCAACTTTGCACGTGCAGCACACTTTTTTTGTACATTTTTTTGCCGTTGTTTTGCACCACTAAAACGTGAAACTCCAGAAACTTCCTGGTTACACGTTTTATGGAGGAAATGTCGTACGTGTTCTTGCTCACTTTTTTTTTTCATTGTCGCTCATTTTCACCCCGCTAGCATTTCTCATTTTCTCACCGCTGCTACAAAATGGCATGTTGTTCCTCCAACAAAAAATGTCTTCCTTGTTTTTTCTATCTCGCTCTAGCTCTTTTTCTTGTTGAGCTTCGCTGGCCTGTCATCTTACTTTCTCTTTTTCTCTGTCTTCCTTTTTCTCTATTTTCCGGATTTGTGGACATGACAATTAATCTAAACTTAATACTTTACACAACAGAATACAAAAACATTTTCTGCTTTCCGTTTTCGTCTTTATTAACTATTTAGTTGTGTCTGCTTCACAAGACGCGGGAGGCCATACACTTTCCCACCAAAATAACCTGACATTTGGCATCGGCTTAAAAGAAGTGGGTGTACGGATGGTCGGCATTCGTTCGCTACGTCATAACCAAATTTTCTTGCTTTCATAGGTTACCAATTTATCTTAGCAATGGGGCTCCGCCACGCGCGCTTCGCGCGGGAGCTCCGCTTTAACATTTGATTATACATTGCAGGGATCTAAAGATATAAAGCAATGAACAAGTTTCGAAAATACCTATATTTTGTATGCATGTACTGGGTATACCTCGCGTTTTGTTTGAATGGAAAGCGCTCCCCGAGATAAGTGGCTAATTTGGTCCTTTGATTGGTCATTTTAATTTTGTGCATATTTCCCCTTAGAGAAGAACGTGACTTTTCATTTGTATTCCTCCAGGACAAGAGAATAAGTGGCGTGTCATGCTCAACAAAGCGAGTCCAGATGTATCTTTTTTCATCTTTCTACCCATCCAACGGTCAATGGTTTTATTACTGCGACGGTTAAGGACATTTTGATGCTGTGACTTGTTTTATGAACTACTGTCTTTGCCCTCTTTCCACATAATATTCAAGACATATCATCTGCTAGCGTTGTAACTGTAATCACACAGATTTAAGTGTAATTTGGAATACGTAAACACATAACTAAGACCGTCCACTGAGCCACCATGGACAAATCCGTTGTAAAGAACTTGATTCGAAAGCGACTTTGGCCTTGCCTGCCATTGATTCAATCAAGACACAACAGGCCGCACGGCACCAAGATGATGGTTATAAAAGGAGAACGCGGACCTTTTGGCTACGCCCATCATGGATACTAGGAAAAAATTAATACAGTCAAACCTCCTTAATACGGAAACTGAGGGGGCGGGAGGGGTGGGGGCATTGGAATTGTCCGCATTAACAGGGTTGGGTTCATAGAAAATGTAGGGACTTCCTTTACTAATAAGGGACAAAGCAAACTACCCGTAATAATGAAGTATCCATTTTAACCCAATTCAGACCAGGAGGGGTGCGGGGGCTTTTGAGCACCCCCCCACCCCCGCTATAAAGTTGAAGAACTTCAAAACAGTTTAAGCTATGACCACAATAGGTTTAATATTTTTACTGATTAAATTATTCTATTATACTTAATTTAGCATTATTTTATCAAAGCTATTTTAACGGTTAATGAAATCCAGGCTTTTTAGTGACTACTTGAGTTTATTATAACGAAATGGCGCCTGCCGAGGTGAAAATTCAACTGTCTTCATATCTCTTTCTTCCTAAGCATCCTTTCATACTCAGGTTAAGTTTTCTATCAAAAATTCCTCGATTTATACGAGTTTTAAGTAAAATGGAATACATTTTGATAATTCAAAATGCCACATCCAAGATGGCGGATGTTTTCAGTTCCCTTTTTAGAAATAAATGACGTCATCATGACATCACTTCTATTGTTAAGAATCATTTATGTGTTAGCCAACTTCCTTTATTTTATCAGAGACCTTACTTTTTTTTCGCCTTAAGTCTACTTTGAGGGAAATTTGGATTCCACCAATATATTCAACAATATGACGCCAGATTACGTTACCGTGTCAATTTAATTTTGCCCCAAACTTGAAATTGATGAGTACGTCGTTGTGCGTAATATTTTTGGCCGTGGGATGAGTGGTTTTGAAGTTATAGTGGGAGGCCTCTGAGGCCTTCTCCCCGGTCGGAGGAAGCAAAAAAAGCCCGGTCTGAATAGTGTTAAGTGGGTGTCCGTTAAACGGGGTTTGATTTTACCTATAACACAACAGTAAAATTTGATATTTTTTTTCAAAACAAAAACAAATAATTGATCAGTATCTGAGAATGGACACTGGGGACCGTACTTCTACCTGAACGTACACGTAATAATAGCTGCGCAGCACATCCTTGCACCTAGAGAGGCTCTTACCGAGACAGGTTAATCAAACTTAACCTTTGGATTTCTCCTCTCTTGTTGTTTGTTTGTTTTCACTATTCTATCTTGCTACGTAAGATTTTCAAAGTGGTCAGAATTTAAGATGACACTAAATATATATTTTTTAACAAAAAAATGTTAAAACTAATAAATTTCCCGAGTCTTGTTTATTATAACGACATCTGAAAATGAAGTAATTTATTACAAACACCAAATAACGTTAAATGCATGCCAGCAGTCTATGGGAAGATTAAAACAAAAAAAGGCCTACAAAAGTGCCTCTTACACTACAATACAAACATTATTATTACAGAATCGAATAACCAGGTACTAGGCGAATTACTTTTGCGGAAGACTGAGGGGAATTAAAGCTTTGATATGCTCTTTTAACGTGCCACGACTGTACTTCAACCGGAAAAGAGACTAACTTGTTCTACGGACACAAATTTGGTTTTGTTATCAGCTATTAAAAAAAAAAAAAAAATCTACGCTGGGAAAAAATGCCAGGTACGTTTTTTTTTTTACTTATTTATTTATTTTTTAGCTAAACGAACTGCACTGCAAAAGTCTAACAAGATTTATTTTCCTGTGGGCTCGGTACTTCGGGTAAGCAGTTAACCGTATGTTCAGTCGTTGGTTGGGCTTCCTGTTCCTGATTTACTTGGGTTCATCTCACTTCTGGTCTTTTTCGCTAGTTCTACGCCGGACGGTTCCCCAGGCAATGAATGATAAAGACGGGATGCTGGTTTATCATGGATCGGGTTAACAGCCCTATTTGCCTCATGCTGAATCTTAGCTGGAGACGAACTGGCATCCTCACTTATATCCTCCATTTCCAGCATTAGTGTGATTGACGTTTCGTCTAAGTCTTTTCGTTTGGCCACACGTCTGTTATAACTGAACCTGGAGAATTGCAATTTAATAAACAATGCATAATTAAAAATATTATTTCAAGACCACCTAATTCCCTAAGAGAAGACGACAAACATATATAAACAGCCTTGGCGCGTGTCAATAGAAAAACTAACAACACGCACAAAAGCTATTTTTACTCTAACTAGAAATACCTGTCACTCTTTTTGCATCCGATCAGAACGGCGGCAATAATGATTAACAGCAATCCACCGCCCACCGAAGCGCCAATAATAACGTTGGTTGGTTTTGACTTTCCGCCGTTTCCCTCGTCGCTTTCCTCGTTTTTCAGTACCTCTGTGGCAGATGGAAAAGGATCGACACTTGAGATTTCACCTCCAATAGATGTTTGAATGTTGTCTTTATGACCCATCACGATATCATGTAATATACTCTCAGAGACGACACTGCTTTCCGAAGTTCCTTGTGGAAGACTCAGGTAGAAAGCCAGTAAGACTACACCGGGAGAATCGTCTGACTGTTTGGGATAACCAGGAAGAATGTGAACCATGTCAGCCGTAAATGTCACGTTTTCAGAAGAACGCCTTTGTCTAAAAAAAATAAAGAAATAATATATGTAACTAATAAGAAAATAAAAACAAAACATATAAAGGTAAGATCATTGAAAAATAAAAAGTAACAAATTGGCCAAAATAATGATGATAATGATGATGATGATGATGAAGTTCCAAAAACGACTTTTTAAACTTGATCAGCTTTGTATATTTTAGGTTTGAGAAGAAACAAAACAAAACAAAAAAACTGATACTCAAGCGTCAGAAAATATAACAGCCAAATTTCAACAACGTCGAACGCGGGGAAAATAGTCGATGGAGATGGAAGCATGGACATCTCCATCTTATCTGGTAATTCAATCGTTACAAATTTATTTCACTACCAGTATCAAAGGACAGCGACTATTCAATTTTTTCCCGTGGAGTAGGTTCCCAGGCGATTGAAACCGTATTAACAAAAAAAAAAATAAAATAAAAAAAATTGAGGGAGGGCTACATCATACACTCTAACGCTAAGGCCCGCCACAAGGGATTTAAAGAAGTGAACGCTTGCCCCCCTAACAAGCTAAATGTGTGCACGTACAGAATATAGTATGCAGTAAGAATAACGATCACTTCACACCCCAAAGCGTTATGTGGGTGCCTTAAATTAAATCTGTTAAACATCGAATTATTCAAAATTCGATTGTTTTCTAATAAGTTTTTTCAGAGTTCATTCGTGCCTTACAAACATAAAGAAACAAAAACATCCACCTTGACTGGTTTGGGTAACACTGGACTTGAGCACGCGCACAATATTCCGTCGCTGCTGCTGCAACTTGTTTTTTGAAAGAGTATTCCATGTTTTGGTCCCACTGATAAATCATAAATAAAAGAAAAGAAAGACAAACAAATGAACAACGAAAAGAAAAACACTTGAGCATCAGTAAAAAGCCAAACAACGGCAAATGAATAAAAACACAGCTAAATAATAATGATAGTAATAACAATAATAGTAATAGTAATTATGAAGAGGATCATGATAATGAATATGGGTATATTGATAAATACAATGGAAAAAAAAAAGAAAAAAAGAAAAAACGGTGGAGATCAGCTAATAACCAGAATGGCATAGGGTACCTTAGAGTTGCCTTATCTGATCCTTCTAGCCATCCACAAAGCAGCTTAGGTCTCTCTTTTAAAAGCTTAAATGCTTTCCCTGTTATTTTGCTACCTACAAATACAGTTGACGCCTGATAACTCGAGCCCTCGTTAACTCAAACCTCGCGCTAACTCGAAGAAGTTTTTGTTTCCCCTCTGATCATTTCTATATAATTTTACCCTCGATAACTCGAACCATGTTTTGAGTCCCTAAAAAATCGGGAAAAAACAGTCTACTGGCGTCTTAAACATTGAATTTTGAATTTTCCATTGACGTGTTGAAGACATATGGTTAACTAGGGGAAGCTGATGTGGTTTGTCACAAATCTAACTTGAAACAGCGTTTCTTCTCAAAACGGTAAAACGCATACTCTATTTTGGCAACATTTTGTTACGTTACGTTCTGATTTATTAAGTATCTTTCAAATTTCACTTAAAGGAACAGTATCCCGTTACTGCACATATACCAAACTTTGATTTTTGGACAGGATGTAGCTAAATCAAAAGATGCGAGGAGTGTAGGAGAACCTTGAAAAATCCGTTTGCATCGCGCTTGGCCGAGTTTAATACTACACTAAAACTTCTCAGGATTACAGATCAATGATATATTTTTCCCGTTAAGTTTCGATTTGGGCGAAATCGGGATTTTTTGGCGTTACTCTTATTGCCGTTGGCCCGAGGACCAAAAGATGGGAAGCGCTTTGATGCCGATTGAAGACTTATTTCTTCTGCTAGCCTCCATACAAGCTCAGATAATTGTGAAAGGAATACGCAGAAATGAAACAGCAACAATAAAGACTGTAAGAAAGAAACCATCGAGACATTGATGTGGCTGAGGAGATCTTGTGGAATTAAGCTTCGTGAAGCAGAATGTTTTGCAACGACGCGTTAGGAGACTTTTAAATAAACCTCCCTAAGGGCGACAAAATCAAACGAAGAGGCGCTACATGTTTAGAATTACTGGTGCCATGAAATCATAATATAATTTTTGACTAACCTCTGCGATGATTCATAGCGTGATAATTGCATTTTTATTTATGTCTTTCAAACGTTTGAGGCTAGAACGCGAGCAAATCAGGCAAATATTGCTGGACTTGGAACAATTGACCTCTGACACGAGTTTACCATTAGAAAAGCTGTTCTTAAAGCGAGCGGAACGAGATTTTCGGGTTGCGAGGTGGCCCTGCTAGCGATAAAATCGTGATGCGTCTTAGTGCCGCCAGCCAAATTTTAAATAAGACGAATACTTGAGAATGTAAACAACAAATAACCGTCGGCGGTACGGTCCGGAAGGAAATCTTGTCGAGCCAATATGACAGTTCTATTGTCTTTTGAAGAAAAAACAGACGACGCTCGCGCGTGCGCATAATCGGGACACTGTCCCTTTAACATTTCCACAATTAACCGTGATTAAAATGTTCACTAGGCAGTAAAAACGTTTTTTTTTTTTTTTTTTACCGTTACTCCCGCCTATTTTCTTCGAGCTCCCGGTGACTCGAACTCCCGAAGACACGAACTTTTTTCGATTTCCCTTGAAGGTCTGAGTTATCGGGAGTCGACTGTACCCACAGTTCCTTTTACAGCTGGAGACATATTTACGAACTAGCAATTTGATCCATTATTCCTCGCCATTTCTCTTAAGACTACAACTTTTAGTGGTGTTATTCTCCTAATACTAATTAAGAAAATATTTAAAACAGCAACAACAACAAGAACAAGAACAAAAACAATGATAACTAAAGTAATACATAAATAAAAGTAACAAAAAATAGGCTGCGGTTTATGGACAATCCATCTTAGGTACTACTAAAGTTCACTGAAGTAAAAAAACAACCTTTTTTAGATCCATATTTTTGACCTTCAACATAACTGATTCTCTCATCACTTGTTCTGACGGCGTTTGTTTTTGGAGTGTATTAGTACTTAGTTGTATCGTTGAACCATCTGTTGTTGGCGTTGTAGAATCATCTTGATTTTCGGGTGAAAACGTACTTGGTTGTAGCGCTGAACCATCTGCGGTTGGCGTCGTAGAGGCATTTTGGTAAGTGCTTGAGGGTAACGTTGAACCAGCTGCAGAAGGCGTCGAATAAGCCTTAGCTAAAAGATGTAAAGTATAAAAAGGTTAAAGCTAGAAAAAGCTTATCTTAAAATGAGAAAGGTTTAACCCCAAAAGACTTTTTTGGTACATCAACATGGCCGCCGTGTTATTGTTTTCGCTCACCAATACAGCCGCTTTTAAGTCATGCTTAAACGTTTTTAAAAAATTATATCGAGCAGTTCGCTATATAGCCTGCTTGGCAGACGAAACTAAACTCTTGTTAAGCCTGTCTACGAAACAGCGCCGAAATCCTTGTCCTGGGCCCTCCACCTGTGTACCCAGATTTGAGTACGCGCCATGATTGCCCTGTTAAAAAAAAACAAAAACAAAACAAAACAAAACAAAAAACCAAACACAACGTCGATTTGCCAATCAGGTTGAAAGGAATTTTGAAACGCATTTCCGGAATTCGTTGAGTCTTCCTTTTTCTTAAATATATCAGAGTTCAGTATACAGTGCAGTGGAATAAACAAACAAACAAACAGACAAACAAAAAATGACAACGTGTCGCCGACGCCCATGATAAAGACTTCTAGAATGTTATCAGTTTACCTGAGCAGAAACCACAAGACCGTCGACAATTTTGCCCGGACCAGTGGAAATGAGTAGAACAAAAACTGTTTGGAAGATCTGGGCACACAACGTGTCTATCAGAGCAACCTGCAGTAAAATAGGGAGAGAAAATGAATAAATAAATAAATAAATTAATTAATTGATTGATAAAAAATAGTAAAAGTATTACGATCTTAAACTGAACAGAAAAATCGGGTAATTAAAAAAAAGGAAAAAAAAAGGACAGCTTAAGGTAAGTTAGTCCCTAATACATACCTCCACAAAAACCACATGTTTTTTCGCAATATTTTCTAGAGAGGTTAAAACTGTTCACACAGAAATTTCCATGAGCAAATAATGAACAAAAGTTCGGGGAGAGATCAGAACAACCTGCGTGAAACAAAAGCAAAGGTAAATATACCTAAAGTAATCATTCGTTAAAAGCTGTAAAAAAGGAAATAAAGATTCTGATTACTTAGCCAAAACGTTGCCTCTCATATTGAATATACTTTTGTTCTTAGCTTTAAAGGGACTATGTCAACCCAGGCGCATGCGCGAGCTGGTAAAAACAAACTTAAAAAATTCAAGCGGACGTTTTCGAGTTCTGTCGGAGTTTTTATCTGTTTAAATCTTAGCCATCGTTTTTGATAGTTAGCGCAGTTTGTCTTAAGTATATCGTTCTATGGCGATTACAGAAGTCATTTTAACGTTATTCTTGAAATTGTTTGCTCTTGGATTTTTTTTTCGTGGATTTACATTGTCCTCTTATCAGAGGCCGTTGTACTGGAAGCAGCCGAAAGAGAATTAACGACTACTACTCCACAATGAGCGATAAAATCTTAGAGGGAATCTTTCCTCATAGTTCACAGAACCTTTCTTTTGAGTTATTTCAGAGGCTGCTGGCTCTAGGATATTATTTTGTGCTCAAAGTATGTGGACATGTAATTGAAGCGGCTATCGATTTGGCGGCGACTGTTCTTTATAAACTATTACAACAGCATGGCCATGAGTTTCGTGACTAAACTCAACTTTTGGCGAAGCAAAAGTTATAAAATTTGGCTAGATTCCTTCTTGTATTTGTCTTGATTCACTGCAAGGATAAACACGACCGTTTGCTCGTCCAACTTGTTCTAAACGGACGTAGAAGAGGCATCAGTTAGATCCTCTGAATGCCGCGTCTCTGAACTGTCTGTGTTCGAGCATATTTTCTCGGATTTTTTGAAAATAACAGAGTTTACTTTCCCTCGTTATTCACGGACTGTTTAGAATGGAGTATAGTAAACCTATGGTACTTGGTTGAGGGTCTCAATGGGGTGAACCGATAGGCGTAAAAATTGAAAAAAAATAACCTTTAGCCGTAAATAGCATAAAAGAGAGTTAACCTCAAAAGAAATTGTTCCCTTGACTTGTTAATTTTCAGGAAGGTGATAAAATTCACTTATGGTTGCGTTTTTTTTTATTTCCCGGCTATTTTGACTCCGTACGAACGTTAGGCCAAGCTTCTTTTAGGTGTTGACCTAGACCTAGGCTCCATTTCCGCCGCCCACTCGAAGAACCAAGCTTTTCCATAGGGAAAATCTGGCTTCTTGCTGGGGATTAATTTTTGTGATTTTAAGGAGGTCGTGCCCTCGAAATACTAGTGAAACAACACGCAGAGATGCCACTGTTTGTACAACACGTTGCTGATAAACAACAATTCCCTGTTTTTCTCTGACGCTACGGTAGAGATTGCCATGCCTAGTCCCTGTACGGCGTCTTCCCACACAATCTCGGTCTAGGCATTTCGGTGGCATACCTGAGGAAAAAAAACCTCGCTCGGACCACGTGACCAGGAATGCATTATATTAGCCGCGCGGAATAATGAGGCCTAAGGACTAGCCACGGCAGACAGTCGTTCTGTACAGTCCTTTCTGTATCATTAAAAACACTGGACACGGGAATTTTGTTGTTGGCCGTTTTCACACTAAAGCAAGAAAATGGATCATTCGTCTGAGACTAGCCTGTGTACAGTCACCCGCTCAGCCACAGACACCCCTTTTCCGTTTTTTGTTTTTCTTTTCTGAGGGGAGGGGGCGGCTGTACACAGGCTATCTGTAACGGATAATCTATCTTCAAACTGTCCGTCAAAATTGGCGGATAAAGTCAGACGGATTGTTCATTCAAAATTAAAACTACTCCATTTTCAAATTAAGACGTATTACCTATCTGACGCGAATTATCAAACGGATAACCCGTCTCACACGAATGGAGGATAACACCCTCCGAGATCTCCATAATTCTTCATATGATACGAAAGCCGAATTCAATAATGGTTTTATTATTCATTCAAAATAATTCCTAGCTTAAAAACATAGCTAAAACATGCTTACCTCCATCGAACCACCGATGTTAAGTTCATCTTCGATAGTACACGTTTAGGGTTGTTCAGCTCCGCAAATATTCTCCAGATAGCAGATGTCGCCCTTCGAGTTGTCTTCTTGCTGTTCTTGCCACGTTTTTAGCTATTATTTCGCCTAGTTCTTACTCTTGAAACGAGTGAAATGTCCGCCATTTTTGTTTCCACAACCAAAACAACTCAACCTGGTCCCCAGGTCTTCTCGGTTAACGGTGCATTAACCTGCAAAAACGCTGCCTTTTTGACGTCATTTCCTCGCTAAACACAAAATTCTTCCAAATTTGGTCATTAGTAACTGGTTATGTTGAATTAAACGAAAAGTCTAATTGTAATGATTTGAAACAGTCTTGGTCTTTATCTTGTACGTTCTTGAGTCTTGTAGATCTTTTATACAATAAAACTTTGATTTATTATGTTGACTACGAAAATATGTTGTTCTTGAATTTTTGTTTGCTCGCAGTTCGCTGCTCGCGTTTTTTTGTGAATAGCATGGGACTTTTTATTCAAAACTGCAAGTAGAATTATCTCAACACTTTTACTCTTGACGACGAAAAGGGAAACCTGATCTAGAATAACGAGATAAGAAACGCTCCATAAATTCGATCAAAATAGGCCTTATCCAAACCCAATTCACTTGTTGACGTCGCTGTGATGCATCAGTCAATTCCATCTGCGCCCAGAATCCCCATCCCCCGGGCTGACCCCCGGGCATTAGCATGTTTTTTTTTTTGCCTTGGATGGCAAATTCCCGGGGGTGGGGACTGTTGAACTGTCAAATGCCCCGGGGTGGGACGAAAAAAGAGGGCAAATGCCCGGTCCTCCGTCAACACTGCAACATTAGGGAACTTCCGAGCGACGGCGACCGGACTGGCGGAGCAAGCCTGGAACAGAGACAGCCGTCGCTTCCCTCCAAAATTCGAACATTAAGATCACGGTGAATTCAGGAGGACGGCGCCTTGGAAGACTCCCGAAGAGGAAAATATGGCTTCACATAAAGAATTAAAAAAAATTAATCGTTATTTGCTTGCATGCAACAACAATAACAGCAACAACAACTTTATTTCAGTATTCTAAACAATTTTCAATACGTTTTATTTATACGATACTCTAACGAAAGAAGTGAAATAAAAACACACGATTAAAATATCGGAGTACATACGTTTTGTCTGGATACTTTCATTTGGCTCGTAGGACAATTTTGTCTATGTAAATTACGCTCACTTACGGTTTGCTGTTTGCCATATTGGATCAGATTGGATCTTGACCCTGTGACATGAAACTTAGAAACATTTTAAAGATGTAAGTTTAGATAACAGAGCTTGGAAATCGAGCTTGAAATTAATGTGACTCAAAGAAAACAAGGACAACTTAAGAACGATAATCTGCAAAATTCTGGTTACTAAACGCAACAAACCTGATTGAAATGAAAGTTAAATACTCACGTTCTCGCCACAACGCCAAACAGACCAGTTTCACGTCGCCGACGGGAGCACGACGGTAATGTGGTGAGCAAGAGCATGCGCAATATTGCACAAATCATGACGTCACGTCCGGTTGAAGTTGCCGTCGCGCGGAAAACGTCTCCATCTCAAGTTCCTTATTTTTCATTGACTGCACAGTCGAATTGTTGGTTTTTCCAGTGTCACGCCTTTCAAAATTGATCAAAAAAAAAAAAAATCAAGACCGTTCAATAGATAAAGTCCAGAATCTGAGAAATACAAGGAGATAAATATACAAAGACCCTCGCCATGATTCAGGTCAGAAGAATATTCCGTATACGAGGTATCCGAAGAAATGTTTTATCCAAATTTATAGAGATCTTTATGGAGACACCATGCCGGTGCCCATCTGGATGACCACTAATCATGGCGGACAGAAACCAACAAAAACATCTGTTACCGAGTTTTGGTAGAAAAGCGTGAATTTATTCCTCGAGGAACTCATAAACATTAAAGTAATACTTTTTCTAATACATGAACTGTTAAGATAGCAAAATTCCCCCAAATACGTTACTTTTTTAACCTACATGATACTCTCTAGGCCGTCATGTAAATGCCACGTCACGCAAAAGCTTAAAAACTCAGACGTACTCTATCACCAACAAACCAAGACCCAAGAACCCTTTTGAAGCGAAAATTTGTACGAAAATTAGTTTTCAGCTGCTCTAAAACATCATGAAAGTAAAATCTCAGTAGGATCGATAGCTTTGTAGTTTGAATTTTAGTGAGGTCACGTGAAAACCAACAATAATGCCGTTTTAAACATTTTAATGTGCGATTTTTTGTTTCATGTAACGTCTTCCAGTTCCTTTGTAATAGCGCTAGGATATCCTAATTAAGACTTCACGCCGCCACGACATGCACCAGTTTATGGTTTTAGTATTGATATAAAATTATTGACATTAAAATCACGAGGGCGCTGTAAAGTTATATGTTATGAATAGGTTATAAATCAGGGTCTGGAAGGGTATTTTCGGGCCAAACTACGGTGCAGGAATCGGGAAAACGATAAATATATTGACGGGATCCGGGATTTGACTGTTGCCCGGGAAGCGGGACTCGCCAAAATTGGGCACGGGATGCGGGATTTATGTTTGTGTGTCTGTCGGGAATGCCGGAAACCGTCACGACCCACCGGTTCTAGCGATCAAAGCGAATCAACCAGACAGTGCGCACGCGTACAGGACGACAGATCACGCTTTCATATCGTGCTCTTTCTTCATACTGAGGTACAAAAAGCTATTTCTTTTTGCAGAAGCCTTTAAAAACACACGTGAATTCAAAACATCAATCGAAAGGATCAACCTACATGTTACATTTCTTAGCTTTTGTAGAAATTAGACTTTTTAATGTATTTTTCTGGGAAAGAAAAGCGGATTTCGGGAAACTGATGAAAAACGTGCGGAATGCGGGATTCTCGCGAAAAAGGGGCGGGAATGCGGGATCAGGACCCCCCCTTCCAGGACCCTGATAAATATCAAAGGATTTTCTTCAAATAATATCAACAGAAATTTGATTCACTTACCAAAAAACGTTGATTCACGTCGATAGCTCCTGAGTTTCGCTATGTAATTCTGGCTTGATAAGCCATGAGGAATTGCATGCATAAAATCGAGAACATGCCTTTGCAACCCCCTGTCCTTGACAGATGAGCTACATGATCTGCTATTTTTCCAGTAATATCCTCTGTGTAGTTATATTCTGATAGGAAACTGCGTGCGTGTCAAAAGCTCGCAAATAGCCCCGGGGTTGGCAAATGCCCGGCCCCCGGGCAGCGCAAAATTTGCAAATGCCCACCTCCCCCCAGACTAAAAAGGCGGGCAAATGCCCCGCAGTAGCCCGGGGGTTGGAGGGGGGTGGGGAGGGGAGCTGGGCGCAGCTGGAATTGACTGATGCATAAGTTTCGGTGCTCTGTACGTGACACAGAAATTCACGCGTTGAAAACAATAGAATTTTGACAGATGTAAGTAATTTACATAATCTTAGCACGCATGCTCTCTTTGTGACATGACCCCGTTAAACGAAATAAGTACCAAGACTTGGTACTTTAAAGTACTTAGGGCTAATTATTTAAACGGAGTTTAGCCAGTGTTTAATGAAACCCAGTTCTAAGCCATTTTCAGTTTGGCAAACGTTTTTATGTATACATCTTTTATGGTGAACAGTTTCCTGAAAGCATATGGCGTAGAAAAGATATGAATGTCTCAAAATACGCCACAAAGGAAGAGATCTGAAGGTCCAAAGATTTCCTAAACAACGGTCTTAGTTAGACCTGGTTTAAATAACCGACCCTCAATATTTATATAAGTCTAATAAACAAGGGCATTAAAGTACCTCCAATGCTTTGATTCGTCAGCAACACAGTAGGACTATAACAGCTTCCACTGAAAATTGTCACATCATCGATAGCGATATCTCCCGTATAAGACGACCCCACAATGCCTTCAAAGGATACCTATAAATAGAGTAAAAGGCATTGGGAATTATTCAAGCACTCAAAAAGGAAATTAAATTGGTTTGCTGCAAGTGGAAACTGAATTCAAAGTGAAAAAAAGAAAAGAAAAGAAAGCCGTGATTATGAAAGAGAGGTAATAGAGAGGGAAAAGGTAACATTCACATGGCGAATGGTGAATTTAGATCAGTCTCTGTCATGGTGCATAAGCACATATCGGCTTTTAGTCCCAGCATTATGCAGGGTAGCTCCCACGACTCTCTTGTAGATAACTTGTAAAGTATCTGGACTGGTTACCACAAGGTCATTACATGGTTCGACTCCTATTAGGAGAACTCGAATATTTTTTCTCCAAGCCGCCTGTGTCACCGACTGAAAAATCATCTTTCTCATATAATTTCAATTTTTGTGCGAAAAAACCGAAGAGGATCTTTCAAAAAAATAAATAAATAAATAAACGGAAGAGGGATTGGCAAGTCCACTTATGATAGATCCTTTTATGCACTTAGACTTTTCATCCGATCTCTGAAGATATATGCATATGTACAGATTTTAGTCGTCTGATATTTAACCAAGACTTATCCAACAGTCGCGTTTCCTTGAGAAATGAAGTTTATTAAACTTCAGAAACTTACATTGTGTCGCAAATGAATTGTTTTCCTTGCTCGTATCCAATAGTTTCCCTGGTTCCCAGATACAATGAAAACCAACTCATTTCCTCTATAAACATTAAGAGTCCCTATGGCATCACCATACATGTGATAAAAGAAAACCAGACAAGCTGCTGCGCCATTTCCAGAAACTGAAACTTGAAGTTTTGCGTTTTCACCTTGTCGCAGAGGTGACGCCTCTATATACATGTAGTATCCTGCAAGAGCATAATAATAATAATGAATACCCATCAAATGGAGCGTCCATCTCCCATACAAGCCCTCGGAGTCAACCCTTTCCCGAGTAGATTTATAATTAGAACGGTTCCCAGAGGAGACTTCGCGCGCCCACAGTGGGAAGAGCCAATCACAACGACGAAATGACCGACAATGCTATAATAATTTTTTGTACTTCATCAAACAGCCGGAAATTCGGTGTTGACAGGCCAAACACAATCATAAGCTAGTGAAACATGACTTTAGCGTTTTCATCCCTCAGAAATGTTCTCCCTTTTCTTTCTAGCGGGTAGATTTTACTGTGGAGAGTTTTAAATTCTGACTATGTTAATCTTAATTTTGGCTGCTTGTCTCACATTAAGAGTCCATGACGCTAGTCTGTTTCATGCATGATGATGAAGTACTTCTTGAAGTTTGTAGTTCTAACAGGATTCGTTATCTTTAGCCATTTTTTTTTAAGCGTTAACGTCCTTTTTTCGGTTAAATGACTCAATATTAATCAAATTTCTAGTTTTTCAAGTTTTTTTTTTTCCGAAATGCGTTTATCTGAATGAATACTTGTAGTCCTTGAGGATGTTTCGTCCCTCTAGTGTGATGATCCCCTGCTATGTTTTGTAACGCTGGGCCCAGATACTTAACATTGTTTTCTCGAGAAAAGTGATCTACAGATGCGAATTCGAAGGAAAGGATTGAGTTTAAACTTCTACATTAACTGCTGAGAATTGTCCTGTTAGTCAGTCATAATTCTTTTGGCGCAGATACAATCCATTTTGTTTTTCTTGAGATAAGTGGGTCTTTGGACTGGAGCGCGATGTTACAAATTCCTTCGTTAGCAGTTTACTTTTGAGTTAGCTCACAGTCGAGCAACAGATACAATCCTGGACAAAACTACTTGAGAAAATGTTTTCATTAATGCGCACTACCTAACACAACAAAACTATTCCCAACTCAACGGCTTTGCGTAAAGAAACCCCCCTCCCTCAGTTCAAAGTTGCTTCCTACAAATTGCATAGGGATCCGGCTTTCTTTTGAAGACACAACAACATTGCTTCCAGGGGGAGAGGGGGAAGGAAGAATCGGTCGGCTACGAAGTTTAGAAAAAATGACCCCCAAGAAGGCAATTTTCTCAACAGTTTTGTCCAAGATTGTAGTTCTCTTCTACTCAACTTTTCAAGTACCAGTTTTATCCTCAGGCAACGCTCATGGTAATACAAGTCAGTTGTAAAGGAAGACTGCAATTTCTCAAATTTCGGAGCTAAAGCATTCCTCTTTAGGTGCTATTTAGGTCATCGCTTTTGGACGCGGTGCTTAACTGGCGGGCCTAACGGGCTTCTGCGTTCCACTTCATCCAACTTTATTTTTTTCACGGTGACATACGAGACTCACGGAAATATTACACTTATCGCGGGAAACAAGCCGTTCTATTTATAAATCTACTCGGGAAAGGGTTGACTCAGGAATTTAATGGAGATGGAGGCTCCATTTGATGGGCTCCTGTGAAAATATGATAATGTAAAACCGTTATTAAGTAATTCCCTCTCTAAACACAAGAGATCCTTTTGTAGGGAAAAAAAGACGTTATTAATAAGCACTTGATCACCTTCTAGTTTCCTTGCTACCAACACTGCGTTTACAGTAAAAAAAAGCACGCTCCCCCTCCCCCTCCACCTTTTCCAAAATGGGCGAGGATTGGTTATCGGTATTTAAAAAGAAAAACCTTCTGAGGAAATGAGTGTGGGGTTTTTCAAGGACTCGGCACATAAATATAATGTAAATACTGTAATTTTCAGTGTTATTGCTGCATACATAAATAAGCAAACTAGGCATGAAAATACTGCCAGTGATACTTTCAAGGTAATCAGTTGACATTTGTTTCTAATACCTGGAATATTCTGTATAAAAGAGCAAAATCAACTTGAATTAAAAACCATGAAAAAAAAAAAGAAGAAAAACAAGAGGAAGAAACAAACAAAAATGACGATTGACAAACACCTTAAACTGACGCTTATAAGCCCTGGACTAATCCATCTTTGTCATTAGGAAGGCTTGTGAACGGAAGGGGCCTCTAACCAGAATAGAAAACAAATGCTTCGGGACAAGCTATAACAGTGCTGATCAAAATCTATTTTTTATTTAAGCTTCAATCAAATCGAAGTCATTTAAATGCATTAAAAGGTAGGATTGTATCCGGGTTGGAGGGAGGGAAGGGACGGAGTATATGATAGGAAATGTATTTTTTGATTACAGGTAGATTGGACTATAACTGGGGGTAGGTGGGGCTTATAGTTGGGGGTACTTATATGCGGAAAGTTACGGTATTGTCTAATTCATAATAACATTTTGTTTTACATCTCCATGATATGTTACATCAGAAGACAGTGCCCCCTTGTGAAATTATTTCCATTGTAATTACACGTACCATTTCCAGTAGTGTGATCTGATGAAGGCCCCGTATTTGAAGATGAGGTGCTTCCTCTTTGGCGTATCCAGTCAAATTTGTCTGAGCGGGACTGACTCCATCCATTACACAAGCCATAGTCAAAGTTGCATGTTTTCCATGGCAGGGACGTTGATCGTGCTGTTGGTATAGAGAAGTTACTTGTTTTGTTAATTAATCACGACTTCGAGGTTCATGCGGTAGCTGGCTATATACTATACGCAAACAAAAATACAGACACACACAATGATAAGAACGCACTAGATCTTTTTATTTAACTCTATGACTTTTGTATCTTCCAACATATTGATTACCTTATCAGTTTTCTAAAGCATTTACCTTAGAATACTCTGAAACCTTGTCGGTTCCTTACTAAGCGAAATGCACATAATATGACTCTTCATTATTGTCACGTACAACGCACCTCTAGAGCATGTCACCGATGCATCTTCACTGTGACTGCAGTCATGGTTACCCCATCCGTTGTGCTGACAATAGACTAGAGAACTTTCATTTCCCGAGCATGCGACATTGTCCAGCCAAATTTGACCGCTTCCGGCGCCGAATCGGGAAGACCCTGGAGCACTTAACGCACGAGTAAATCCAAGCTGGCGACAAACAACGTGCGCGTCATGTAAATCCCAGGAGTCATCACAAACTGTCCCCCAGATGTTATTATAAAGCACTTCAACTCTTCCTTCCCAGCTTCCAGATCCCCCAACCAGTCTCAGACCTGAGATTCAAGAAAAATATGGGTAAGTGAAATGTTTGTCCGTTATTTCCCCTTGAAGATACTGTCTACAGCCTTCCTGTAATGGCAAAGGGTACAAGATCTTAAACCAGTTTAATTAAAATATGTTTGATAGAAACAATCAACCCTATTTGGTGACCATTTAAGGGAAGTTGATTTGAAAAATAAAACCGGATTAGGTCAAATTAGGTTGACTAATTTGACCTTGGCACGGACGTTGTTGGTGCTGTTGGTATAGAGAAGTTACTTATTTTGTTAATTAAACACGACTTCGAGGTTCGTGCGGTAGCTGGATATACTATAGACTAACAAAAATACGGACACACAATCATAAGAACGCACTAGATCTTTTTATTTAACTCTATTACTTATGTATCTTCCACCATATTGATTACCTTATCAGTTTTCTAAAGCATTTACATGAGAATACTCTGAAACCTTATCGGTTCCTTACTAAGCGAAATGCACATAATATGACTCTTCATTATTGTCACGTACAACGCACCTATAGAGCATGTCACCGATGCATCTTCACTGTGACCGCAGTTATGGCTACCCCATCCGTTGTGCTGACAATAGATTATAGAACTTTCACTTCCCGAGCATGCGACATTGTCCAGCCAAATTTGACCGCTTCCGGGGCCGAATCGGGAAGACCCTGAAGCACTTAACGCACGAGTAAATCCAAGCTGGCGACAAACAACTTGCGCGTCATGTAAATCCCAGGAGTCATCACAAACTGTTCCCCAGATGTTGTTATGAAGCACTTCAACTCTTCCTTCTCAGCTTCCAGATCCCCCAACTAGTCTCAGACCTGAGGTCCAAGAAAAATATGGGTAAGTGAAATGTTTGTCCGTTATTTCCCCTTGCAGATACTGTCTACAGCCTTTCTGTAATGGCAAAGGGTACAACATCTTAAACCAGTTTAAAATGTGTTTTACAGAAACAATCAACCCTATTAGGTGATCATTTAAGAGAAATTAATTTGAAAAATAAATCCGGATTACCGTATTTATTCGATGAACCGCCCTGGGTTTATTAAAGTTTTGGACTTTGAGAGTGGGCGCTTATCCGAAGCTGGGCGCTTATTAAATTTTCATCATTTTCAGCAAGTGTAGAATGTTTATTTTGCAAAAATACAATAAATAGTAATAATAAAACGCGAAGATGTAACACAGCAAGGTTTCTGTAAAATACTCTGAAGAAAACTCCGTCTTCGGGCAAGTCTCTTATTAGTATTTATTTAATGTTTTTTGGGTGGGAGGAACCAGAAAGGGGGTGAGGTGGCGGTGGGCGCTTATTTGAGTTTGAGTTTGAGGGGGAGGGAGGCGGGGTGGAGGTGGGCGCTAATTCGAGGCTGGGCGCTTATTAAATTTTTCTGACTTCAGGATAGGTGCTTATTCAAGGTGGGCGCTTATTCGAATAAATACGGTTGGTCAAATTAGGTTGACTAATTTGATATTGGCAATGAAGCGTGTGTGTATTATGTAAGGCTGTTTCTTTTCGGGTTTTCCCCTTTCTTTCTCAAGCCATTTAATCCAAGGTACATGTATTTACAGCCGAGCCAGGTCAAGTGCACCTCCCTAAATTATATGAATGAATCCATTATTTGAAATTAAAATGAATCCGTTAGTCGTTGCCGAAATCAGCATCAAATTCAAATCTACATTCTAACATGCTGTATTCGGTCAGATTTAAAAATCTTTGAATGGATAAAACTGCTTTAATAACGACATTTACATCAAATTCAAGAAAACTGAGCTGGCAAAAATTTCATGACTACCTCGCGTGTGATTTCACTGTTCATTACACTTGAAGGGATGCAGAGACGGATCTCAAATCTACATCTGGCAACGGATTTAAGTTGCCATTAATAATTCCATGGGATTATTCAGAACGGTTTTCCTGAGAAAGATATATAGGGAGATATATACTTTGGTTTTCTTGCAAGTGCGCCCGTGTGCATTTTTCACTTGTCATTGCCCAACCTTTGAAAAAATTCGGTTCAACAATAAGCTTTTTCTTTGTCGGGTTCTTTCCAATTTGTCAAAAAAAAAAAAAAAATGCACGAATAGTCTCTGCAATTCTCTTGATTTGCATGCTCTTGGAAATAAAAGAATGCGGTCAGTTGTAGGTCATCTAATTGTTTTTGTAACAGGATAAGCTTTGATATTATTGCAGTAAATCGTGCAATAAAAGAAAATATGAACGGAAAAAAACTGTTAAGATTTTAATTTTTACAACAACGCAGATGAAATGAAAAAGAAAAAGGTTTTCCAAGCCGCTGTTTTTTTTTGTTGTTTTTTTTGTTGTCTTTTTTTTGTCTAGAGGAAGATTTGACGGTGGAGATGGATGGTATTGATATTGGCTACGTAAGATTTAATCTTAAACACGAGGAGCCACTGATCATATATATCAGCGGAGCACCATGTAAATCTACCCATTCCAGAAAATTTGGTAATCACCTGACCGTGCACCGCCCACCCGTCCGTCTGTAAATCTGTAAATCTTTCACCGAATTCTTTTATTGATTGTTAGTAGTCTCTCTTGCTATTTTAATGCACCTTTCAGCGGCCATCCCGGAGGGAGGGTGGGGGGTGGGCGTGGTGGGGGTGACGCCGGGGAATCTCCGATCATTTGCACAACGACGTTTACAAATCCTCCTTACCCAAAACCAAAATTGTTTAACAAAAAGCTACTAACGCCCCTTCCCTGGGGACAAAGAAGTGTCCTCTGCCGAGTCAAAAGGTGAAATATTTCAAAAGAGTTCTATTTGCCATAACTAATTTTCTCTTTGCTATAATTATACATATAAGAGTTAATTAAAAATAAGCATAGAAAGCTATTACAGTTGTTTTCTACACATAATTAGGTTCAGCTTATCTTGTAAGTCATGGAATGGGAAAGGAGAGAATATCCTTGTTTTCTGGTGGTACTGAAGAACTAGGATTCTTTGAATATATTTTGAAATGCATTATTTTATAAATATTTATAGATATTTACAAATCCCGCGGGTCTTTCCCCGGGGATCCTGCTACGGATTTACAAAAGCGATCCAATCCCCCTCATCCCTCAGATCCCGCGTCATACCCGCTTACATACACACATAGACACACCCATACACCAGGCAGGGGGAGGAGGGGGGCTACTGGGCTCCTTTAATGGCCTATACGGGGAGGTTCCGTCCGTTTTGTTTCTCCTCCTCTAGGCTTCAGGTATATGAAAGGGTTGGATTTCACGAACTGAGGTATACTTATGCGAAAGATTAGGAACGTCTGTTAGTAAGATATTAAAATAATAATAATAATAATAAGGCTGTGCTATTGTAATTTATCAAACGCTATATCAGAATGACAAAAAGGCTTCCTGTTGTTGTTTGCAATGGATCTGCCACACGAGGTCAGTCGAATGCAATTTTATAGTAGTAAAAATAGTCAGAACCTCTTTGATCACATTCTGTGACTCAAAAAAAAAATTTCATCTTCGCGTATATTGAAAAAAGCAAAATCACTCAATTGGGCAACTGAAATCCTTTATTTTACTAACAAGCTAAACGCCAACGTACGCAAAAAAACCTTGCCATCGCCATTATGAAGCTGCCACTTCAGGGGTTAAAAACCCTTGAAGGTTCATAAAAAGCCACTCCAAAAACTTGTATACACCAAAACAATTTATAAAACCATATTTGAAGCCAGTTATTATCAGTTGGTTTTGATTGGTAAGCTAAAACCTTCAACCCGTATTACTCGATAGGCTATTTTGATAAAGGTGAAAAAACACATAAACTTATAAGACCAAGTAGAAAACATCATCTAAATATTTTCTGTGTATCGCATAGAGATACGCCGAATATTACATTTGATTATAAATTGCAGCGATCGATATAAAAAGCAATAAATAAATAAAGCAATATAAAGCAATAAAGCCGAACTTTACTTTTAGACGGCTAGCTAGACGGCGCCATTTTTCTTGCTCTGATAGCTGATCTGGAGCGGAAAGGTAAACTAGTTTCAATCCTCCTCCGCATCACAGCTGGACCAGAGAGCGGGTATGAGCGTTTCAATGCCCTATGACTTTAGACTTAGAATATTCTGTACAATTTGCGCAGTTTCCAAAGTTTCCAAAGTTTTGGTTGAATGGAAAGAGACCATTGAAAATGGAGAGCGGGAAAATGATACGTCTACTTCCATAGACGCTAATTATTGTTTAAAGACAATCCCACGCGGTCGGCAGGTAAAACCAGGGGATAGAATCGCTGTCTATAAATTGATCTAAACGGGGGATTATTAATCTTTCTAAATTGAATCAAAAGGGGCACCATATATTTGAACATTGACACAAAAGAAGGGTCATTATAATGTTCAAACGTTCTGTGAATTGGCGCAAATGGGGTAGTATAAAATCTCTGTAAATAGACCAATAAGTAGCTGTAAATTGACAAAAACAGGTCATTATCAGCCTGGATTTGGCCGGCTAAGAAAAGATTATAAGATACCAGTCTCTCTGTATCCAAATTAAAGAAGGCAAAGAGAAAAAATAGTTCGGAATCATGAACTTAAACGGGGGGCGTTTAAATCGAGTCAGTAAAAGTTGGAATGCAACAAAAAATTTCCACGAGGAGGAAAGCGGTTTTATTTTCATATTTTTTCAGTGTTTGTTTCTGTTTTTTTGTATATAAAGATAATAATAATACAAAAATAAAGTGATGGGGAAAACTGTAATGCCTAATATGCATGTATCGGGTATACTTCGCGTTTTGGTTGAATGGAAAGCGCTCCCTGAGATAAGTGGCTAATTTGGTCCTTTAACTGGTCATTTTAATTTTCTGTATATTTCCCCTTAGAGAAGAAATTGGCCTTTTATTTGTATCCCTTCAGGACAAAAGAATAAGTGGCGTGTCATGCTCAACGGAGCGAGCCCACAAGTACCTTCTTTCAAGCCTAATAGACTCATCCAACGGTCAACGGGTTCAGTACTGTGACTGTACAGGACATTTTGACGCTTGTTCACAGTTTGTGACTTCTTTTATGAACTACTGGCTTTGCCATCTTACCACATAATATTCAAAACATATCATCTGTTGTAACTGTAATCACACGGATTTTAAGTGTAATTTGGAATACGTAAACACATAACAAAGACCATTCACAAAACTGAACCACCATGGATAAATCTGCATTCGACACCGTCGAACATGAGATCCTTCTGGTACGATTGAGGTCAACAATTGGATTGCGGGGGAAGGTACTTTCATGGTTTGAGAGTTACCTTAAGGGCAGATCCCAGCAACTGTCTATCAACGGAACTCTCTCAAAGCCGTTTGATTTGAAGTGTGGAGTTCCTCAAGGTTCGTGCCTGGGCCCGCTTTTATTTACCATCTACGTGGGTAAGCTGTTCCAGATTCTAAAACACCATCTGCCCTCCGTTCATACTTATGCTGACGATACACAGTTGTATTTGTCATTTAAGCCCTCTGACTCTTCCAGTGAAGTCGAAGCTGTATTAGCCATGCAGAAGTGCATCTGCGATTTGCGAACATGGATGAGGGAGGATCAGCTGATGTTCAATGATGACAAGACTGAGTTCCTGATTATAGGTACTCGTCAGCAGCTCTCAAAAGTTTCAATCCAAAGCATCAAGATTGGGCAGACTGAAGTCTCTCCTGTAGCCTCTGTGCGCAATTTAGGCACATGGTTCGATACGCATCTAGATATGGGAACCCACATTACAAAGACTTGTAGCAGTGCTTTCTATTAATTTTATACAATATACGTCATATTAGGAAATATTTATCCAGAGAATCAATTGAGAAATTAGTTCATGCTTTTATCAGTAGTAGATTGGATTATTGTAACAGCCTTCTATACGGAATCCCGCAATATCAGACTATGAAATTGCAACGTGTTATGAATGCGAGTGCAAGACTTATGTATCGTGTGCACAAGTTCTGTCATATGACACCTCTACTCGTAGAATTACATTGGTAACCAGTGCGCTCCAGGATACATTATAAGATACTCTTGATAACTTTTAAAATTTTGCATGGCCTATCACCTAAGTACCTTTCAGATTTAATTAGTATTCAACAGCCTTTGTCCTACCATTTGAGGCGCAACGACAATAGTCGTTTGTTGGAAAGACCAAGTGCGGTAACCAGGAAAACATTGGGAGACAGAGCTTTCAAGGTAGCTGCTCCTTTCCTACGGAATAAGCTGCCAAGGTCCGCGCGCGAAGCAACGAACTTAGAATCTTTTAAGACTTTAATTAAGACATTTTTATTTAAAGAATCGTTTCGCTTATCTTAGTATATCTATATCTTTATTTGTAATTATCTTTTACTCATTTAATGTAAATATATTTTTTTATGACTTTGATAGAAAGATTTTTAATATTTAGTCATTAATTACTATTGTGATGCGCTTTTGAATATTTTATAGAAAAGGCGCAATACAAATAAGAAATGTTATTGTTATTGTTAAAGAACTTGACTCGAAAGCGACATTGGTAATGCCTTCCAAAAGGCCTCACGGCACCCCGAGATGTTTATTAAAGGAGAACGTAGACCTTTTGGCTGCGCCTATCATGAGACTAGGAAAAAAATTAATACAGTCAAACCCCCTTAATACGGAAACTGAGGGGGAAGGAGCGTTGGGGGCATTGGAATTGTCCGCATTAACAGGGTTGGGTTCAAAGAAAATGTAGGGGCTTTCTATACCGAGGGGCAAAGCAAACTACCCGTAATAATGAGGCATTCATATTAAGACCTGGATGGGGCCTCTCGCTATAAATTGGAATAACTTCAAAACCGTTTAAGTTATGACCACCAAACTTAGCGACTTTTCCTAAAAATTATCTAGGAACATTTTAAAGTCGTCGTGACGTGTACGTCAACATTGACGTTACCATGCCAACCAAGTTTTGGCATCCATGTTTTTCAATATTTGACTTTTAAAAAAAAATAGGTTTTATTTCTCTTTTACTGATTGAATTATTATATTATACTTAATTTAGCATTATTTTATCAAAGTTATTGTAACGGTTAATGAAGTCAATAGCTTTTAAGTGACTACTTTGGGAAAAAAAAAACATGATTTTAATATAACCAAATGCCGTATGCTGAGTTGAATTTTCAACAGTCTTCATTTCTCTCGGAATTTCATATTTTGCTGAGTTTTTGCTCCTAAGCATCCTTTCATACTCAGATTAAGTTTTCTTTTAAAATACCTCTATTTATACGAGTTTTCAGTAAAATGGAATACATTTTAATAATTCAAGATGCCGGATCCAAGATGGCGGTTTCTTCCAGTTCCCTTTTTAGAAATAAATGACGTCATCATGACATCCTTCTATTGTTCAGGATCATTTATATGTTAACCAACTTCCTTTATTTTATCAGAGACCTTACTTCTTATGTATTTTTCAGTCTACTTTGAGGGGAATTAGGATTCTATATACCAATAGATTGAACAATATGACGTCATAATAACGTCAGATTACGTCACTTTGTCAATCCAATTTCGCCCCAAATGTGAAAATGATGAGTACGTCGTTGTGTGTAGTAGTTTTGGCCCTGGGATGAGTGGTTTTCAGGTTATAAACCGGGGGGGGGGGCTCCAAGGCTTCTCCTCGGTCACAGGAAGCAAAAAAAAAAAAAACCCGGTCCGAATAGTGTTAAGCGGGTGTCCTTTAAACGGGGTTTGATTTTACCTATAGTACAACAGTAAGATTTCATAATTTTTCACAACGAAAACAAAATAAATGATAAGTATCTGAGAATGGACACTCGAGACAGTACTTCTACCTGAACGTACACGTAAAAATAGCTGCGCAGCACATCCTTGCACCTAGAAAGGCTCTTAACGAGACAGGTTAATCAAACTTAACACTTGGATTTCTCCCCTCTTGTTGTTTGTTTTCAATATTCGATCTTGCTACGCAAGATTTTCCAAGTGGTCAGAATTTAAGATAACATTAAATATATACTTTTTAACAAAAAATGTTGAAACAAATAAATTTCCTGAGTCTTAGCGCCTTGTTTGAGTAATATACATTTATCAAAAACGAGTGCGAGGGTTTCATCAGGGGTTCCAAACACCTAGAAACAGATGAAAGCACGAGGCCGTACGCCGAGTGCTTTCATTGTTTCCTGGTGTTTGGAACTTCTGATGAAACCCGAAGCACGAGTTTTGAGATGACTTCTCAAACGAAATAATAAAAAAAAAGCAGTGATACATTTTTTGCTATTGTCCTCCCCAAATGAAAGAACAATAATTTATGCAGCGACGCAATCTTGCCATATTACGTAAAAATTCTTCAACATGCATGATTAACTGTTTTGGTGTACTAGTTGGTGTCTGACCATGAGTGAAGATGGAGAGGCAAGATTTAGGGAGCCGAAAACGGTTTATGAACAACACCAGTGAGTCGAAAAAGTTATTCCCTCGTCAACCAAACATAAGAACAAATGGGCGGTAGCTATTTTTGGCGAATAATGGCAAATTTTTCGGTCGGTTGTAGCTCCCGTTTTAGATCCAGGCTATGATTTACAGAAGGTCACACAGCTTTTGACCAGCGTTGAAGAAATTGATGCGGTGACCTTGAGTTACTGCCTTAGCAAGTTTGTGATGGAGGTGGCAAAGACGTCGGGGGAGAGAAATATCTACCGAAGACCACTTATGGAATAGTTTGTGGTATCCGACGCTATCAAGGTTAGTTATATCAAATAATATTCAGGTCATTTTTGGTATTGTCGTTAACGATGTATTTATTATTGAAAAATGCTCACTAAAATGTAAGTGTTTGATCTGAGATCAAAACCATGTTTGATCTCAGATCAAAACCCATAACATTTTCATCTGAGCGTTCATTGGGTGTCAAGGTTCATGCATGTGACCCAAATATGCCTCATTTATTGGCTGTTGCCCTCATGAATGATTAATGAGTTTGAAAACAACATTTTGAAAATGAAGTAATTTATTACCAACAAATAACGTCAAATGCATGCCAGCAGTCTGGGCGCAGATTAAAACAGAAAAAGGCCCACAAAAAGGGCTTCTTACACTACAATACAAAAATTATTATTACAGGATCTAATAGCCAGATACTAGGTGAATTACTTTTGCTGAAGACTGAGAGGAATTAAAGCTTTGATATGCTTTTTCAACGTGCCACGACTGTACTTGAACTAGAAAAGACACCAACTTGTTCTACGGAAACAAATTTTGGATGGTTTTGCTATAAGCTATTAAAAAAAACTATGCTGGGAAAAAAAGCCAGGTACTTTTTTGTTATTTATTATTATTTTTTTAGTTATTTATTTATTTTTTAGCTAAACAAACTGTACTGCAAAAGTTGAACAAGATGTATTCTCCTTTGGGTTCGGTACCTCGGGCAAGTAGTCTCGGTTGGGCCTCCTGTTCCTCATTACTAGTGTCGGCTGATGAGTTGGCAGCAGCATTTTGTTTCTCGTCCTCTGGTTGTACTTTCAAGTTGCTTACCGTTAAATTAGTCCTGATTTACTTGGGTTCATCTCACTTCCGGTCTTTTTCGCTAGCGCTACGCCAGACGGTTCCCCAGGCAATGAATGATACAGACGGGATGCTGGTTTATCATGGATCGGGTTAACAGCTCTATTTGTCTCATGCTGAATCTTAGCTGGAGACGAACTGACATCCTCACCTATATCCTCCATTTCCAGCATTAATGTGAGTGGTGTTTCCTCTAAGTCTTCTTGATTGGCCACACACTTACTAAACCTGGGAGAATGGTAATGTAATAAACAATACATAATTAACAATTATTCCTCGAGTCCGAATTGGCTCTGAGTCAATAGCCCCTGAGCCCGAAGGCCGAATGGGCTATTGACTCAGAGGCCATGAGGGCGAGAGGAATAATTGTTTTGGTAAAATCCAACTAGTTGGTCAAAAATATCGAGAATAAAAAAAAAAGACTCAGCTACTTAAAGCTAGACTTTAATCCTTTTTTGCCGCCAAAAAGCCGGCGCTTTTCGCTACTAGTGGGCTATAACATATAGCCTAGTAGTAGCTTAACGAATCAGAACGCAGCATTGATAATAGACCACTAGTTGGATTGTATTAATTAAAAATATTATTTCAAGACCGCCTAATTCCCTAAAAGAAGACGACAAAAATACATAATCAGCCTTGGCGCGTGTTAGTAGAAACACGAAGAACACGCACCAAAGCTATTTTTTTCCTCTAATTAGAAATACCTGTCACTCTTTTTGCATCCGATCAGAACGGCGGCAATAATGATTAACAGCAATCCACCGCCCACCGAAGCGCCGATAATAACGTTGGTTGGTTTTGACTTTCCGCCGTTTCCCTCGTCGCTTTCCTCGTTTTTCAGTACCTCTGTGGCAGATGGAAAAGGATCGACACTTGAGATTTCACCTCCAAAAGATGTTTGAATGTTCTCTTTATGGTCCATCACGATATCATGTAATATACTCCCAGAGACGACACTGCTTTCCGAAGTTCCTTGTGGAAGACTCAGGTAGAAAGCCAGTAGGACTACCCCGGGGGAATCATGTGACTGTTTGGGATAACCAGGAAGAATGTGAACCATGTCAGCCGTAAATGTCACGTTTTTAGCCGAACGCTTTTGTCTAAAAAAATAAAGAAATAATAGATGTAACTAATAAGAAAATGAAAACAAAACAATATAAAGGTAAGTTCATTGAAAAAAAAAAATTAAAAAATTGGCCAAAATAATGATGATGATGATGATAATGAAGTTCCAAAACGACTTTTTAAAATTGATCAGCCCTGTACGTTTTAGGTTTGAGAAAAAAAAAAAAAAAAAAAAAAAAAAAGGAGAAACAAAACAAAACAAAACAAAACAAATAAAAAAACTGATACTCAAGTATCAGAAAATAAAACAGCCAAACTGCAACAACGTCGATCGAGGGGAAAGTAGTCGATGGAGATGGAAGCATGGACGTGGTTTTCTCCATCATCATAACTAAGACCCTACTTTGGTAATTTAATCGTTACAAATTTATTTCATTAGTAGTATTAAAGGATAGCGACTTTTCAAATTTTTCCCAGGCGATTGAAACCGTAGTTAAAATTTAAAAAAAAAAAAAAAAAAAAAGAGGAGAGAGGGCCACATCATACACTCGAGCTCTAAGGCCCGCCACAAGGGATTTAAAGAAGTGAACTCTTGCCCACCTAACAAGCTAAATGTGTGCATGTACAGTATACAGTATGCAGTAAGAATAACGATCCCTTTACTCCCGAAGCGTTGTGTGGGTGCCTTAAATTAAATCTGTTACAAATCGAATTATTTAAAATGCGATGTTTTCTAGTAAGTTTTTTCACCTTGACTGGTTCGGGTAACACTGGACTTGAGCACGTGCACAATATTCCGTCGCTGCTGCTGCAACTTTTTTTTTGAAAGAGTATTCCATGTTTTGGCCCCACTGATAAATCAAAAAAGGAAAAGAAAACCAAACAAGTAAACAACCAAAAGAAAAACACTTGAGCATCAGCAAAAAGCCAAACAACGGCAAATGAACAAAAACACAGCTAAATAATAATAATAATAATAATAATAATAATATATTTTTTTTTAAATGAAAAAAAATTATTGACAACAATGCTAACTATTAAAATCCTAATTACAATTAATTCGCTTAAAAAAACGAAAAAACTATTCATTCAAAACACTATTTACAATTCCTGGCGACTTAAAAAGAACTTAATTTAGCTTAGAAAGAGTTAATTTAACTAAGAAAAATTTACTCGAATTAAAAACATTTCATTTCAATAAAAAAAAAAACTGTCAGCCTCTAAAATTCAAAAGTTTCTTTCAACTGTTCAAAACAAGCCAAATTAATAATAATAGTAACAATAATAATAGTAATAATAATAATGATAATAATAATATTAATAATAATAGTAAAACTACCTGTTAAAACCTATTTACATTAATTTCGCTAAAGAAGAAAAAATGTATATACATATATTCAGTCAAAGCACTATTTACAAGTCACTTCATTTCATAGGCTCCTGATCATTCAATAGAAAGCATGCAGTTCACACTAATTTCTACCGTGGATTAAAATCTAAATAATAATAATAGTAATAATAATAATAATAATAATGTTATGGCGAACCGATATCCTGAGTACAAGGTCAATCAGTATAACATCATCATGGATGTCCTTGGGGGCTGTTCGAAAGAGGTTGAGCAAAATATAAAAGAGCTTGTGGGAGACAAGTGTAAATGAATTATGCGCCAAATGCAAAAGGAAATTCTGTCTAGTTCATTACACATTCCTAGAATGTTCGAGCTGAGCGCTTAGATATCTATAGGAATTTTGGACACCTATTTTAACAGATACTTAATCTTGTACATTTACATATACCTTAGACGTTGCCATAATTATATAAACGATGTTTTTTAAGTTATGAACATTTTTATTTTGTAATGAAGACGTCCATAAAGCTTGTAGGATTTATTTATTTATTTATTTATTTTATATGACGCTTTTATCAAATCATTTTTACCCATTTTTTTTTGCAAATTATCGTGTAATTGTTACCACAAATTTTAGTCGATGCTGCGGCTGGTTACGGTTTGCCGCCCAGCCAAATAATAATAATAATAATAATAATAATAATAATAATAATAATAATAATAATAAAGATGATCATGATAATAATGATGGTATACTGATAAATACCATGAAAAAAAAAATAATGATAAAAAAAATAATGATAATAAAAAAAACAGGTGGAGCTCAGCTAATAACCAGAATGGCATAGGGTACCGTACATTTGTCTTACCTGATCCTTCTAACCATCCGCAAAGCAGCTTAGGTATCTCTTTTTGAAGCTTAAATGCTTTCCCTGTTATTTTGTTACCTACAAATACAGTTGACTCCTGATAACTCGAACCCTTGCTAAATCGAACCTCGCGCTAACTCGAACCAAAATAGATTTCCCCTGGATTTCCGTCATACATTTACTGTAATTTTACCTTCGGTAACTCGAACCTCCCGCTAACTCGAAGTAGTTTTTGTTTCCCCTCTGATCATTTCTACCTAATTTTACCCACGACAATTCGAACCATGTTTTCAGTCCATAAAAAGTCGGGAAAAAACAGTCTACTGGCGTCCGAAACATCGAATTTTGAATTTTCCATTGACGTGTTGTAGGCATATAGTTAACTAGTGGAAGCTGATGTTGTTTGTCACAAATCTAACGTGAAACAGCTTTACCTCTCAAAACAGTAAAACGCATGCTCTATTTTGGCAACATTTTGTGACGTTACGTTCTGATTTGTAATCTAGAAGTATCTCTCAATTTCCACAATTAACCGTGACTAAAATGTTCAGTGTGCAGTAAAAACTGTTTTTTTTCCTTACTCCCGGCTATTTTCTTCGAGTTCCCGATAACTCGAACTTTTTTCGATTTCCCTTGAAGGTTCGAGGTATGGGGAGTCGACTGTACCCACAGTTCCTTTTACAGATGGGGACATATTTACGAGCTGGCAATTTGATCCATTATTCCTCACCATTTCTCTTAAGACTACAACTTTTAGTGGTGTTATTCTCGTAATACCAATTACAAACATTTAGAACAGCAACAACAACAACAACAAAAACAAAAACAACGATAAATAAAGTAATACATAAATAAAAGTGACAAAAAATATGCTGCGGTTTGTGGACAATCCATCATAGGTACTACTAAAGTTCACTGAAGTAAAAAGATCTACCTTTTTTAGATCCATATTTTTGACCTTCAACATAACTGATTCTCTCATCACTTGTTCTGACGGCGTTGGTTTTTGGAGTGCATTAGTACTTGGTTGTATCGTTGAACCATCTGATGTTGGCGTTGTAGAATCATCTTGATTTTCGGGTGAGAAAGTACTTGGTTGTAGCGTTGAACCATCTGTTGTTGGCGTTGTAGAATCATCTTGATTTTCGGGTGAAAAAGTACTTGGTTGTAGCGTTGAACCATCTGATGTTGGCGTTGTAGAAGCATCTTGATTTTCGGGTGAGAAAGTACTTGGTTGTAGCGTTGAACCATCTGATGTTGGCGTTGTAGAATCATCTTGATTTTCGGGTGAGAAAGTACTTGGCTGTAGCGTTGAACCATCTGTTGTTGGCGTTGTAGAATCATCTTGATTTTCGAGTGAAAAAGTACTTGGTTGTAGCGTTGAACCATCTGATGTTGGCGTTGTAGAAGCATCTTGATTTTCGGGTGAGAAAGTACTTGGTTGTAGCGTTGAACCATCTGTTGTTGGCGTTGTAGAATCATCTTGATTTTTGGGTGAAAAAGTACTTGGTTGTAGCGTTGAACCATCTGCCGTAGTCGTAGAAGCACTTTGGTAGATGCTTGGTGGTAACGTTGAACCAACTGCAGTAGGCGTCGAATAAACATTAGCTAAAACATATAAAGTATGGAAAGGTTAAAGTTAGAAAAAGCTTATCTTAAAATTAGAAACTAGGTTTCACCCCAAATGACTTTTTTGGTACATCAACATGGCCGCCATCTTATTGCTTTGGCACACCAATATAGCCGCTGTTAAGTCATGTTTAAACGTTTAAAAATATATTTATTGAGCAGTTCGCTTTAAAGCCTGCATGGGAGACGAAACAAAACTCTTGTTACGTCTCGTCTACGAAATAGCGCCGAAATCCTTGTTCTGGGCCCTCCACCTGTGTACCCAGATTTGAGCACGCGCCATGATTGCCCTGTTTAAAAAATCAACGTCGATTTGCCAGTCAGGTTGAAAGAAAATTTGAAACGGAAGTGATACCAGTGAAAGTAAATTATAATAAATTATTATTTTACTTTAAGTGTAAACCTTAAAAATATTTGATCCAAAAGGGTTAGCTTTTTTCACGGTTCGAGGTTGTCGGCTGTAGTGAGAAGTGATTCCATTTGCTTTTATTGAAATGGTGGATGGAAGTTGATTCCTCTTTTTGATATACAAATCATGTCCAGTGACATAAAACTCATGTCAAAGAGAAAGTAAAATCAGCTATTAAAGCTGATTCTTAAGTCGCAGCACAAGCCGCTTAATAAAATGGATACACAAAGAGAAATACGAATTGCTCTTACTCGAAAGAAAACAACATTTTAATAACAACCCGCAAGCCACTAGGCTGAAATGTCATGTTAGGACTCTTTCAAACGTGGAATTTCTTATGAGTGCCAAACATCTGTTTTAGTCGATGAAAGTAATTAAATACGGCATATGATTCAGACGTCGGATATGATAATGCCGAATTTAACTCCGTTTGTTGTAAACATTCCCAATCTCTAGAAAAAAATTTTATTCAACATCGATAAGGGTTTCTATAATTAATGCATTATATTCGACACACGTGAAATGCGACTTCTAAACGAAATGTTGAACCTAAGTCCATTTTTTTTACTGTTTCAGTCGCAGATTCGATAAAGTCGTATTCAATTTGAAACTGTTGAATCTAGTTGATTCAGACGTCCCATCTCAAAGCAGTTACCTCTCGAATTGAATGATTGAGCAGGGTAATGATAACAGTGTCCAGTATTACTAAAAATACCGGTAGATACGCTATAATAAATACCACATTTTTTAATATTCCTGTACACTTTGCTTTTAATTTACCACATTATGTTACTAGCTATATGCAAAACACAGGTAAGAAAGAGAGTAAAAAAGAGATTTAAAAAAGAAGAAAAAATTACGGTGTACGAAAAATTTCCTTCAAGGAAATTCGAACCTTGACCCTGAGAATCAGTTAGAATTAAAAGTAGACACCTCTATCCACTGGACCACCTCGGTAAACTGACCATATGACTTTAAAAGAGGTATACATTCCTTCTTTGGTGATTGACAGTTTTCAAGGATGACCTTTTGGTTTTTTTTTTTTTTTTTTTTAAATTTTTTATTATTTTTTTTTTTATGTGAGTGAAATCTTTTACTGATCGAAGCTAGACGTAAAGCTCACAATAAACCCATTAATACTCTTTCAGGCTTGGTCCATGCCGACGAAGTCGTTTAAGAAACTTATGAACTATCGATCTCTCGGCTACCGACTGAACCCTATAACCGTACGATTCTCTCCCTGGTCGTAAGGTGTCTTTACATCGGTCGGGGAAAACATTAACACAACAATGTTCATCATTAATTCCATTGTTTTAGGTTAGGGTAGCAAACCATTAGGCTTTTATGCACCTATCAATGGCTTGCCACAGGATGGGGGGAGGGGCGGGGGCAACCCACGGGCATTAGAATTAGCGCACGTGGGTAAGGAATTTGACCTCAACGTCCCCAGGGTGGGAAATTTGACTCAGCCACCATCTTGGAAATTGGAGGACCTGGGAATAAGTGATAAGAGGTCCGCCATCTCAGAAAATACCCAGTAGTAATTTGGATGAGTTTTTTCCACATTTTGATGGGTTCATTTCTTTGTGAGGGATGGTAGAACGAAAGGTGGGAGTATCTTGTTGCTTTTTAAGTTTTTGAAGTTTTATGACAAAAAGCATTTTGTCCCTCGGCATTGAGAAAATATGCATTTGAAAATATGCTTTCTCCAGGAGAAAATCATACTGGAGCACAGTTACAAACACCAGCCCTTATCTTAGACATTACCCTCCTCGATGATGACCTGTTATGTTCTGGTATTGCAAATTTTGCATTGCTGTAAATACTGTGTGAAACAATTCAAAGGTACTTTCGAGGGTATAATATGTGTGTTAAATTGCCAGCCATGCTAAACATCCAGCTAGTATATGTCTTCTCACTTGGGGAAATGCACAAAGTTTGTGGGTACCATTATTTTGTCACCAAGAGGAGACGCTCAGTGCTGCAATAAAGACTGTTGTGAGTGCCTATTAGTTCGCCCGGGGCGTGGAATTTGACTCAAAATGGAGACTTAAGGGTGGGGGAAATTGACATTTGAAAACCTGAAAATGTCAAATTTCCCTTGGGTTGACCGCCCCAACCCCCACCCCTACAGTCGAGACCAAACCAGTGATAGGTGCATTAGCCAGGGTTAGCAGAGCTGCTACATGACCTCTCTCCCAGGAATGAAGAATAACCGGCAGCATGGCCGCCAAATACATCCTTTTACTTTTTAAAGTTCTCCTTTATTAACAAGCGTTGAACATTTATTTTGGCTAGCAAACAGTTAATCTGAAAAGGAATTTTACAAAAGTCTCAAGAGTAGGTCTCTTTTTGGATTATAACTTGCATTATCGGTCAATTTACGCAACTTTAAACTTCTGGCTCAGTTTTCGTTTGCTTCTGCTTTGAAAATGAAATAATAATTACCATAGTTATTAGAGGAGACTGGTTATGAAAAGCGGCAAACATCAATGATAAAAACAACAGTGCTACAGTTTATGTTCAAAGCACCGTGAAAGTGCACAATCCTTTGTTTTCTGTTGGCAAATTGTTACGGAATAAATTAATGCAACGTTTTTATTGGTCAATACAATCAAAATGATAGGAATTCTTTTGAAAGCTGTGCACTTTCAGGTCCACAAAAACATATAACAAAGGAGTCTGACGGGTTTCATAACCATTCCACTCAATTAACTATGTAATTACTCAGGGGTAAAACAGTGTAAAGATTTGTAGAGAAAAACGACAAAAACTTGCCAATTTATAGCGAAAAATGTACTTTAAAAACGAACTCAAATATTCAAAAAGCTCTGATCACGAGACTGATGATTTCATGTCCCTCTTTTGGTAATTCCTTACGGAATAAGGTTCAAAAGCTACAAAACAGAGCCGCCCGTGTTTTGACCTACTCAAGCTATGACGTAGATGCTGGTCACCTTTTCAAACTCCTAGGGTGGAAAAACCTAGCTTGCCAGCAACAATTTCAAAGAGCTACAATGGTTTACAGGTCTCTGCACGGGTTGGCTCCAAACTATCTTAGTTCTAAATTTGAAAGGCGAGAAGTCGCATATAACCTAAGGGACTCTGAAAATAAACTCAATGTTCCATTACCGCGCACAAACTATTACAAAAACAGCTTCAGCTATAGTGGCGCCATTCTCTGCAACAGTCTTCCTTGTAACTTAAGGGAAGCAGAGTCCCTTGGGCAATTTAAACGATTACTCAAAGAACTGTAAGGTACGGCATTCGTGGAAAGCAGCTTTTTTATTTAAATATTTTTATTATATTGGTATTAGGCATTTTTAAAGCTGACGAATTTTGTACCGTGGATAAATAAAGATTATCTATCTATCTATCTATCTATCTATCTATCTATCTATCTATCTATCTATCTATCTATCTATCTATCTATCTATCTATCTATCTATCTATCTATCTATCTATCTATCTATCTATCTATCTATCTATCTATCTATCTATCTATCTATCTATCTATCTATCTATCTATCTATCTATCTATCTATCTATCTATCTATCTATCTATCTATCTATCTATCTATCTATCTATCTATCTATCTATCTATCTATCTATCTATCTATCTATCTATCTATCTATCTATCTATCTATCTATCTATCTATCTATCTATCTATCTATCTATCTATCTATCTATCTATCTATCTATCTATCTATCTATCTATCTATCTCTCTATCTATCTATCTATCTATCTATCTATCTATCTATCTATCTATCTATCTATCTATCTATCTATCTATCTATCTATCTATCTATCTATCTATCTATCTATCTATCTATCTATCTATCTATCTATCTATCTATCTATCTATCTATCTATCTATCTATCTATCTATCTATCTATCTATCTATCTATCTATCTATCTATCTATCTATCTATCTATCTA